TAGTGATTATCTGCCACGCCCTTGGCCCTGTGCAAACACTGCCAGCAAGTGGGAATTCCCTGCTCCTCTGCAGTTGTCTTCTCAGCTTAGTATATGTAGTTCCAACACAGAAGCCACGACTGGATGTTCTTCATAGTCCCCCAAAGCGCCCAGTACAGGGCCAAAACATGATAATTACTCTTAAATATTTGTTGATTAATTAAACTTAGGCCCATTATCCAAAGTGAGGCACCACAAGAGCAGAAGAACGGGATCCATTTGTATTCGCCATCAAATTGGTACTAACTAATCAACACTAGGGTGATCACATGACAGAAATACTCTCTAGGGATTAGGGGGATGGGGGGCCAAATCTACAACTAAAGGACACAGGGAGCACTAAAGGGAGGGAAGGGCATGCCTTTAACCCGCATTTGGGTGAGGCAAAGACATAAAGTGTAACTATAACGTCTGTACCCTCACAATACCCTGGAATGATAAAAAAAAAAAAAAAAAATTTGTTGATTAAGCCATTTTCTTTCAGCTCTAGTGAACAGCAGGCTCAGTGAAGGGGTTCAAAAACTACCTGGCACAGGCAGAGAGCCTTTCCCATCAGACTCTGGCTTCACAGCTTCCTGGCATTAACAAAGCACCTGGATGGTAATACCCATTTCTGAAGCTTGGCTTTTCATTGATACTGGCCAGTCATGTTTTCAAGTGTGAGTTGGGCCTCCATTTCTCTGAATCATGTCGTTTTTTTTATATTTATCTACAACTGGAATTTGAAGAGGAATCACAAAAGAATAATGAGGATGATGAGAAGGTCTCACAAAATGTACTACCTGTATTTTGTTCAACAACAAACTTATTCTTCTGCTTCCAGGCACCACGCTCGACCCTGGAGACAAGTCAGAGCGGTCCTTATTCTTGAGCTTCAATCAAAGTACCCCCTGAGCACAGAGGTCATGGCAGAGTCTTTGGCCGTTTAGAAACAAGACTAAATTTTTTCAAGTCAGAAAAATGAGTGACAACTGAATCAGGTCTTCCACAGGCAGGCAGTGGGTGGAGTTCCCTTCTGTATTCTACCCTACCCCCATGACTCTGGGCCTGTCTTCTGTGCCCCACCCTGAACTTCAATAACATGCATATGATGTCACCATCTAGATGTGCAACAGCCTTGGCAAATTTCATCCAGAGCCCTCAAGCACAGATTAAAAAACAAATCCATAGCATTTGCACAGATCTTTACAGTTTACAAGCCACTGTCACATTCATTATCTCATTTGATCCTCCCTATAGCCCTAGAAGTTAGGTGGAGTAGAGATCATCATGTCCATTTTATGGATGAGGAAACTGAGGCTCAGAGAGTTGAAGTGATTTACTCAAGGTCACCTGGTTTGGAAAAACCATGTTGTTCTCTCTCTAGCATTTCAGATCTAGTCCTTGGATCTAAATGAGAACTCAAATGGAGACTGCCCAAGCTCTTTCAAGCTGACTTTAGTAGCTAACGATTTGAGAGCTTTCTTTAGAGAAGCAATGAAGGCGGAATGAGGAAGCAATAAGAAAACCTTAAGGATGCCTAATATCCAAGTAACACTTTGTATTTTTCAAGGAACTCACATATTTATTATCTCATTTGGTTCATAGAATAATCCTATAAGATCAATAAGGCAAGTATAATGTCACCAGAGACTGGATCAGAACTAGTCCCCAATTCTGACTCCAGTATTCCCTCCATCAGCCACTCAAGGGCCTTCTCACCACTCATGCTCTACTTTGTCCCTTTGGTCCCGAAGGGTCAAGACCAAGAGTAGGCTGGATACCCTTCTTTTGTGTGTCCACACAAGTTCTACCTCAAATGACTTTCAATCTCACTTTGCGTTCCCCCTGCCAAAAACCAGCCCCAGAAAGCAGGCCCTCCCCCTTCTGGTTTTAGGATTACTTTTACAGAACTGATTTTATATGATTCAAATACCAGGGAGAATGAATCGGTTAAAATGGTGTTCATCCATTTAACAAACATTTTCTGAGCAGGGTACCACTCTAGGCTAGTCATTGGGCGTTAGAGAAATGAGTCAGATATAATCCCTGCTAACGAGAAGCTCACAATCTAGTGGAACTGATGAAAACACTCAAATACATGATAAAATGAAATAAACATCACAACAGAGTTATAAACAAAGGGCTGCAGAACAGAGAAGACAGCAAGAATTCTGACTGGTAGGAGGAAAGAGTCTCCATGAAAAAAGAGGCATTTGGGCTGGGCATTGCAGGATAAATGCAGAATCTGGACTAGTGGGGAGATGCAGGCTGAGGAAACAGCATGACAATCTGGATAACAGGATGTTGCCACATGAAGTGCTGCTTGGCCCCCAACCTCACACTGAGGCTAGTTAGGATCCAGCTTAGACCCTTAGGCCAGATCGAGGAAGATTCAACTCCCAACTTGAGACAACTAAGAGACCTAGACCACTTGCTCCCTGCCTTTTCAGGTTCTATGGTACTTGTAGCATGTACTACCAAATTCTAACTGCCCTCTTAACTACTCGTGTTTTCTTTTCTATAGTTGGCTCTCACGTGTGTTTGGTTTCCTCAACTAGATGAAAATACCAGTCTCTGATTCCTTGAGAACGTAGCCAGGGGGTATCTATATCCTACCCCTGCCACTATGAGGCACCCCATAGGTTCTAAGAACCTATCTGTTGACTGATTGCTAAAGTCCATAGGCCCAAGAATCACAAGATGAGTTTTACAAACAAGTAGAGCAAGAAAGGGCAGGACTTGTAACCCTAGCTGGGGATAGAAACAGTGAAGGAATTAGGAGAAGACACGTACTTCTGGTTTTTGGATTACAGTTTATAGAGCTGATCTAAATTTAAATCAAGGTGCTCAGACTTGCTCAGTCACCACGTGGGACTGCCCCATGTCTCACCTTCTGCTCTCTTAGACCAAGGTCACAAACCTGGTCTTTAATCCATTTTTCTAGTTCCTGCTTGTCAACATCTTTCAATGAGACATGGCATCTCATCTTTCCTCTTTGAAAGAGTAATGGGAAAAATAGCATAGATGCCATTACCAATCTGGAGACCTCAGGTCCAGTACCAGTGGGAAGAGCAGAGTCAGGGCCAGAGGTAGGAGTGAGACAGAGAATAGCTTTCTATTAGTTGTTCTCCAAGGAGCTGAGTCTCATCTCAAGTGAGACTTCAGGGATGAACAGAACAGACAAACAGGGAAATCGGAAGGGGTCAAAACCCAAGCAGGTCACAGTTCCCCAAGGATGGATCCTGAGCAAGTAATCAAGGTGATCACCCAGGAGTGCGGTAGGGAGGGGGCAGTACAAAAAGCACTAAAGCACAGTTGGGTTCAGGAGCACAGAACTTTGGTCTTAGGAATTATCTACTCCAGCCCTCTCTTCTAATCCCCTAGTTGAGGTCCTCAAACTTTCTTTCCTGTGAGAGTCTAATTCTCTTCTAACTAGTATCTCTCCCTCTTCATCTTTGACCCTTCTGATTCATCCTCCACATCACGGCCAGAGTGATCTTTCTACAACACAGATCTGATCACGTCTTGCCCTTAACCTTAAAACAGTTCAATGTCTCCCCTCTGCCCTCAGGATAAGGTCCAAATTTTGCATGAAGGCCCTTCACTGCTAGGCCCAGATAGACCTTCAACTCTAATCTCCTCTCTTCACCCTCACTCTCCCTCTACATTCCACTGACAAAATACTACACATAATTCCCCAAAGATGCAAGAGACTTACTCTTATCTGCCAAAAGACTTTTAAGGTCTAGCTCAACTGTCAACTCTTCAGTTAAATCTAATCTCATTCACTCATTTCCCCTGGGATGAGTTAGTTTCTCTTCCATAAGACAAACTAACTAGTTCCAAAAACACCTTAGTACAATATAGCATTTATTATCTCAACTTGTATTTATTTATAGAACCTGAGAGACCATGATGGTTAGAGATAGGTTTTGACTTCTCATAACCCTTTCTGCCCTTAGTTAGCACAGTAGGAGTCGATGGTCAAAAAAAAATGTTTACTAAAAGAATGAATGCTCTTCCTTTACAGAAACACAATGAGGAGCTCCTGGCAGAGCCCATTTAAAATCTAGGTTGTCTGATGCCCAGATCAGGGCACTATGTTGCTGCTTCTACCTACTTTCCATGACCATCCACTTGGATGGAGCCTCAATAACCTGGACTTTAAAGCGTCAGGACAGTGACAGGCATTTGTAGAAGCAGTAACCCAAGCTGCTATCTCTAAGAAGAGCCTTCTGTGCCTTTAAAGTGTTTTGATTCCCAAGGGCTTTGAGCTGAGCTGTAGGCGGTGACAGAGTAGGTGAGTCATCCCAGCCCACACCCGTTCTCTGCTGAAGAGCCCCAGCATCTGTCTGCTTGGGTGATATGGGGAATGGGTGCTCTGAACTGACTCAGGTCCCAGGGAGGGAGGGCTGCCATTGTGGCCAAGGTCTCTCTCATCCCCAGTGGTGAAAGCAAAAGCAGTGATGGCCTTTGTCTATCAGAACAAACATAAAGGGACTCAGGGAGTGCAGGGGATGGCCTCAGAGAAGCTGCACACATGATAAAGGCCAAGGGACACAGCTCACCACTCTGCTGAGCCCCATCTGGAGAGACAGATGTGTGGGGCCTGGGGGCCCTCTACCTGAGCAGCCTGTTCTCCACTGCCTGCCTTCATTGGTGTCTCTTCACTCCCCTGAATTCAAAGCTCTCAAGGAAAACACAAGGAACTTTTTCTCCCTTCTGGGTGCCCTACCACCACCCTAGACTCAATCAGGGCACTTAGCTCACTGTTGAATCTTGTTTTAAGCACAGTCAACATGTAAAAGTTGAGGGAGAAATCTTCATTTTACAAATCCTTTTCTCCGTAAAGAGCTCCCCTGATGTGTTCATTCACTGCTGGCTTACTATGTGTGAGGGTCCTCTGTTAGAAACTTGACAGAACCAAATACTAATGCTGTATAATCCCTGTCCCCCAACAAAGAAAATAAGTTACATACCCAAATTACTGTAACACAGGGAATAACGTAATAAATCCTTTAGAGAAGGCTCACAAAGGTGTTTGGACTTCATGGTGCAGATGACATCTGAGCTGGGCTTGGACATTCAGAAATGGCCTCCCAGATGGAGAATCACCTGCAAAGGAATAAAGGATGCATGGACTGTGGATGCAATAAAACATTAGGCAAATCCATGTGGAAGCCCACAAAGGTGAGTTGAAACAGTACACCTGACATGCCCAAGCCCCAGGGACACAGGCAATGGCATAAGGAAAGGGCTCCAAATAGCAAAAGTACAAGATGAACCCAAATACTGCAGCAGCAGTATGTTGAGACGGACCTTGGGACTAGACCAGAGTTCAAATGCCCAGCTCTACCCTTAACAGCTGTGCAATCTTTGACAAGATCTCTAACCAAAGTCTTGGTTTTCTCAGCTGCAAGGTCCCTACCTAATAGACTGTGAAACTAAATGAAATATAGATATGAAGCATCTGGCACAGAGTGTCAGGCACATAGTATGTGATCAACATATATTAGGTTCCTTTTCCATGCTTAGGGGCTTAAATAACAAATTGAACAACAATGAAAGACTTTATAGAACTCCCTAGGAAAGCAGAAGCCAATAAAAAGGGGAAAAGAGAGCAGATGATAAAGCAAGTGTGCACGAAAGGGCTCAGTGCTTTCAAGCTGAGGTTTCTGCTCCACTGCAGGCCACTTTAGGGGTGCTGGTGAGACCTGCCCCACCAAACTGGCCATTGGTTCATCCGTGAAGAATGCTGTGTCCCAGCAGCTGCACCAGCAATGCAATTAGCAGGCCTGAGTTTGTGGGTAGAGCAGCAAGTAGGAGGGCCCCTTCCCAGACTGTAGGGTGATTAGGAATCAGGGAGAGGGTAAAGATGGTTTCAGAGAGAGAAATTTTTTTAGTTCCAAACGCTAATCTTTAACTAAGAAAACCAACTGACGTCCATGATCTTTTTCCAGACTTTCATGCCTGCTCTTTTAACCTAGAGAAGCTGGCCTATTACAAACCAACAGGAGAAACTTTGACTCAAACAGGACAAAAGCAATTTATGTAACCAAAACGTTTGTACCCCGTAATATTCTGAACTTTAAAAAAAAACCCACAGGAAAGATACTAAAAGGCATAGGGTTCTCCTCTGCAGAAAGCCTCCAGTCCCTACAGCTGACTCTCCAAGTCCCATGGAGACAGGCACAGCTAAGGCTCTTCGGTGAGGTTTACCATCTAACCCTACTTACGTTTGTTTCTCATTCACTCCACAGACATTCACAGGGGCACTACTGCACACAGGATAAAATTCTGTACAGGAAGATGTCAGCTTAGTCGTTCATACCTTCATTCCTCAAGTTGTTTCACTAGTCAGTTTCTTTATCTGTCAAATGGAGAAAACCACGTTTATGGGAAGATGCAATGAAATAATGGACATGCCTAGTATAGACTAAGCTCAAGAAATGTAAACTATTAAATATTATTATGCTGGTATCTTTCATTTCTCCTCTAGGTACATTCCTCCTGTTCCACTCTGCACGATGCCTTAGAATTGACCTGTATGAACTACACCAAGACTCTCTTCTCCTGACTGCCAGTTTGGTTTGGTCCATGGAGAGCCTTGACAGGAGAACAGAGGGAAGAAGAAAGGGAGGGCAGGGTTTTTATTCCCCCAGATCCCTTGGTGAGTCCCTTGACTCAAAGTCTCAGCTCTAGTAAGATGACCCTCCACACAGCCTCTCTGTCTCTAGATGTATAGGTGGTAAGATCCCACTGTTACTAGCCCCAGGATGTTCTGCCATCCACAGTAGTGGATGTGAGCGGATTGGGCTACAATTGGTTCTTTCGGGTGTTCTGTTAAACCTGGGAGAGGGATGCATAAGGGAATAAAGGGAATAAAAAGAATAAAGCTCCTTAATAAAGAGAGTGACAATGGCCAGGTTAGCCACTAAGCACCTCTCCCTACTCTCCACCCTTGTGTCAGCTCAATCTCACCTAGTAGTCACCTAGCTCCTTTCCAAAGACTTTTCCTTTTCCTCTCAGGCCATCAGGGAACCAGATGCTAAATGATCTCCACTCCAAAGCAACAGCCAAGAAAACCCAGGAAATTAAAAATAAATTCCCTTTCCTTTCAGTAACCAACTGACCAACCCTGGGTTAGCCAGAGGCCCAGTGCCAGGTTCTAGCATACCCAGGGGGCCAAACAAAGCAGCAGCTTCACACTGACACCAAAGCATTCTCACAGGAAGTGATGCTGTCCCTGCACTGGGAAGCACTGGGGAAACAGTTGGCTTCTAGGGCAGAGGGCGTGAGCCAAACCGGCCTCCCTAAGAAGACATGAAATGCCCTCAATTGAGATCCCTGTCACTTGACATGTTTCAAATTGAGGCTAATGATCACTTGATGAGCTATTACAGAATTTTTTTTTTGAGACAGGGTCTCCCTCTGCCACCCAGGCTGGAGTGCATCATCACAGCTCACTGCAACCTCAAACTCCTGGGCCCAAGTGATCCTCCTGCCTCAGCTTCCCTAATTGCTGGGACTGCAGGCCTGCACCATCAGGCTCTGCTAACTAAAATTTTTTTTTGTAGGGACACAGTCTCCCAGACTGGTCTCGAACTCCTGACCTCAAGCAATTCTCCAGCCTCAGACTCCCAGAGTGCTGGGATTACAGGTGTAAGCCACCGCTCCTGGCCTACAGAGCCTCTTAAGGCCTTTTCAGCTCCTAAAATGAGTGACCTAGGGAACCCAGTAGCCACAACAGACCCATTCTAATCACACTATTACCCTCGATTGGAGTTTTCACCTGCCCTAAGGGCGTCCTAGTCTCCCTCCCCAGAAGAGGGGAACGTGGGCAGGGTAGGGCAGGGTTTGTTTTCAGTGACAGGAGGGGAGGGCAGTTTGGATTCCAATGTTCTTTCCGTTTCTGGGGTAAGGGAGCTGGCACGTCGGTTGGATAATCTCTTAAAATTCTCATTTCCTGCTGGCCTCAAGTGAAAACCTCACTCTAATTAAAGTGCAAGCACCAATCTGTCCTCGATGTTCTTTCCGTCCCCCACGTCGCCAGGACCGCGTGGCCTCAATCACGACATGTTACTGAGCAAGTTCAAGGTCTTTTCCGGTCCCAATCAAAGCTTTCGAGATTTTCTCAGGGCCTCCGGGTCGTCCGTCTGGCGGCGGCCACTCTGTGGGGTGCGGCGGGCCGAGTCCCGCGGCCTCGAGAGCGCACAGCGACACCCGCCTTCGGGACACAGTCTCACCCCCAGGGTGGCTCCGGGCTCTGGCCTCCTCGGCGCCCTCCCAGCCCGTCGGTGCAGGCCGGGGAGGGCGGAGGTTCGCCCGCGAGGCCCGGAGCGGAGCCCGCGGCGTGAGGCGGCGGCGGCCCGGAGCGCGCGCCTCGGCTGAGGGGCCAGGGCCGCCACCCGAGGAGCTGGCAACGCACTCTCCCCGGGACCCGGGGCCAAGGTCCGGGGCGAGGAGGGGCGAAAGTGCAGTCCCGCGCTCCCCGTGAGCAGCCAGCGGGCGCCGGCCGCGTCCCGCCCCCAGCACCAGGCCGCCGCCCGCTCAACCGCCCGCAGCTCGGCATCGGCAAAGCGTAGCTGCCGCGCGCCTCCGTCTGCGCCTGCGCAGGCCCCAGCGCGAGACTCCGCCCAAGCGCGCGGCCTGGGGGAGGCGGGGCCGAGCCCCACAGCGGTGCGCGTGCGCGGGGCGAGCCGAGCGGTCGGAACGTGGGAGTACGCGGCGGCTGCAGGGTCGCCTCGGGGACAGCCACGACGTGTTTTTGAGAAGCTGGCTGCGGGGGCGAGGCCGAGCTCAGACAGGTGCCCGCTTCCCCCACCCTGCGACCCTGGTCTAGACCTTCCCTGTCCCGGGTCTCGGTTTCCCCTCTAAGGAGAGGAGGTGCACTGGGGAAGGCTGAGGCCCCTCCAGCCGCGACGTTTTCCCTCAGACGAGGCAAGAGTGGCCGGCCCGGCCGCCGTGAGGTCGCGGGCTGCAGCCCCCGCGGTCAGCAGAGGCGAAGGTCGCGAGGCAGAGAGGCTCGTCCAGGAGTCGTCCTGTGGCCCTGCCCCTGACCTCTAAGGGAGCCGCACCACGCCCGGTGGGCAGACGAGGGCCAGGAGCAGCCCCGTGTCCTCGTCCTCGCGGGTCCTGTCACCTGCATCTTACCTGGCTCCACAGAAGTCCGGAGAAGGGACAGAATTGGCGTCTGCCTAAGGCAGGTGGGGTCTAGGGCCCCACAGGGGCTCTCAGGCAGGGCCAGGCTGATGAGGTGGGCTTCTGCTCGCAGCCTCCTTTTGGGGCTCCATGCCCTGGTGTCCAGCTCATAGGAGTGGGGCAGAGTCGGGGACGACAGAGATCCCCGAGCCGCCACCCAGCAGCCCCAGGGGAAGGCAGTGGGCTCCCGGGTACCAAGCTCTGTTCTCTCTGGTTGGCCACGGTGCAGGTGCAGCTACAGCTGGATCTTCCCTGCTGCCCCCTGGCCCTCCCCTGCTCAAAAACCTGCGGTGGACTCAGGCCCAGACTCCCTGGGCTTCCACTTAAGACCTGGTTTTCCCAAACTCACCTCATCTCAGTGTAACTGCTCTCTTACCCTTCGACACACGGCTTCCTTCCCCCAGGCTCCATCCCCCTAATCTGTGACCCACCAAACATGCCCACCCCTCAAAGTGCAGGCTGAAATCCCCTCCTTCCCCAAGCTCAATCACCCCTTGATCACCCCTTCGTGTGTCTTAGGATTCTCAGAAGAGTTCTGATGTGTAAATTGATTCTACTCAACAAAGTAACCCATTATGCATATAACAATTTATATGCATCGGTCAGGCTTTTCAAATAATTACCTTTGCAAATGAAAAAGAAAACTCTTTGCCAGACCCTGTATCCTGATTTAAGATTTGGAAAACATGGTCCTCCTGTGGACTTCCTGACCACTCCAGTGCCTGTGCCCTGTACCCCTTTCCAGATTGCTCCTTCCCCCAGGGCAGAAACTATGTATGACTTAATAAATATGCCCAATTTCCAGATCTTTTGAAATTGTGGCAAAAAACCCCCAGAGGTTTGAAGAAAATGGAAATATATAATAAATATTTTTGCGTTCTTCCCAAACACAAAATCACTTATTTTAGTGTGTCAGAAAAATATACTGTGCACAACTTGCTTTAGGCTCCAGATTAACACAAATTAATGTGATGGAATATAGTAGAAAAAATATTGGGATGGGCAGAAAACTGACCTTTGGTTTGTTTCTCTGTCACCTTAAAGGCGGATAACATGAAGGTGGTAAGGTATAAGGCTTGTGAAACAGCCCAATTTTGAGGCAGGTTCTGGCATATTAGTTAAATTTATCTTCAAAACAGACCTCCCTCTTCTGGGGAAAAGCCCTGAATTCCTCCCAGGAATGGGTGAGTGGGGACCCATGGTGGCATGGGTGAACAGAAGTAGCCTTAGGTCAGATTGCTGGTTGCTCAAAGACCGTGTATTGCAGACCCCATCACCGAGCCCTACGGTCAACCCCTCCGGAGTTAGGAGAACCCAGACTCAGGGGCCGCAGCCATGACCCTGGCATACTCTCTGGGATGCCCGTGTCAGCGGGTGTCCATGCGATTAGGTCCCCCTCCCCTTTTGGATATCTCCAGCCTCCCACCTCCTCCCCAAGGACCAGATTTTCCCCCTTCAAAACCTACTCTCAAGCAAGGGTGAAAACTCCTTCCTTTGAGGATCCCAGAAGTAAAGCTTCAAAATTAAAGGAGCTCTGCTCTGGAGGGGACCCTGGAGACAGGAAAATGTGGTGGGAGGGGCTCAGGGAGCCAAGGATGTGTTCAGGTTTCTTTAAAGACAGGTCCAAGCAGGAGGCCCAAGTCCATGCCACATGGATGGGGCAGAGAACCTTCTGAGAGGCCACCCTTGCCGTCCACACAGGCCCTCCTGGCTTCCTCCACTGGGGCTGGCAGGTTCCTGGGGCAGCTGCGTGGATGCCAGGGAGAATGACGAGGTGAGGTGCTGAGGAGGGAGACGTTCTCTAAGTTTCCGGTTACAGGACAGCGGGCCCTGGTTTCACGGCCAGCACCAGTGGAGGGAGCAATTCATCTTCAACTCCTGAAGGGCCAGACGCAGGAGGGAGTGCACCCAAGGAAGGCACCTGGGGCATCGAAAACAAGGGTGAGCAATTTATAAATGTCCAATCTATCCCCAAGAAACTTAAAAATGAGAACACTTGACTAGATAAAAGGAAGATAAAGGGATTAGCCTGGCTGGAGACAATCAGAAAGTACGAGGTGTTAAAGAGAGATTGGAACTTTATTGAGACTTTCTCCCTGATGAAATCAGAATTGAAAGAACACTGGAAAGGTTCAGCAACTGTTCAG